AAATTAAGCCTTAATTAAATTATTTGTCTTCATGTGATGGGGCAAACTGAAAGACACAAATATTTATATGGATTAAAAATTAAAAATGAGAAAAGAAATAAGGAAAACAATATTTTAATTTGTTTCGTGGTGAAGTAAAATTTAAGAAACAATAGAAAAAAATTTCCAATATCCAACACTTCCATTTTGCTAGTCCAAAAATGGGATGTTTTTTACCTGAGAAAGAAAATGGGAATTTAATTTCTCTCAATTGATTTCTTCAAATAAATATCTGATTGTCAGAGCTGAATCATTGTTATGCCTCAGTCTTTGGATCATGTACTGAATCTTTTCAGATTTTTGCAATAAATACATCAAAAAATAATAAATTGATATATCAGATAAGTAGTTGGGAATAACCTACAAAAATGGTATAAAAAGATTTAAAATAATTGAAAAGTAATTTTGACTAAAAATAGCCAAACACCACTTAACATAAGGTAATTGCTGTAAAAATCCATATTTTCGAGTCAATTGATAGGAAAAAAAAAACCAAAAAAAAAAAATCTAGTCTTACCTGGTAAAATTCTTGTTGAAAAACGAAAGTACTACGTGGGTCAAGGTCTGAATCTGATGATACTATTTTCTAAGTAAAAAATCAATAAAAAAACTTGTAACTTTTGGACCTATTAAACATAATTTGTTAATTACAATAGGTTAATAACTTAACTTTAATTTTCTCTCCCATTTTTTGAATGTGGACTCGGATCCTATCAGAAAGGCTATGCAGGCCTAGCTGTACCTTAGCCCATGGCTGCTTGGACTAAATATAATTTTGTTGCAACAGGTTCTTGAATGCTGGAATTTTCGGCCAAGGTACCGAGTCGTGCCATGCTTTGCCACGCACCGCTACGAGGGCAGCTATGCTTGTGAGGATCAACACTCTTTTGCAAGGATATTCTGGCATTAGATTTGAGATCCTAGAAGCCATCAGTAAACTCCTCAATGTGAACATTACTCCATGTGTGCCACTCAGGGGATCGATTTCTGCATCTGGTGACCTGGTGCCACTTTCCTACATTGCTGGGCTTTTGACTGGCAGGCCTAATTCTAAGGCTGTTGGGCCTAATGGTGATGTTTTGAACCCCACAGAAGCCTTCAGCCAAGCTGGGATCAATGGCGGATTTTTTGAGTTGCAACCTAAAGAGGGTTTTGCTCTAGTGAATAGCACAGCTGTTGGGTCTGGCTTAGCTTCCTTGGTCCTTTTTGAGGCCAACGTATTGGTAGTCCTCTCAGAAGTTTTATCAGCAATTTTTGCTGAAGTTATGCAAGGGAAACCTGAATTTACTGACCACTTGACCCACAAGCTGAAGCATCATCCAGGCCAAATTGAAGCTGCAGCAATTATGGAACACATTTTGGATGGTAGCTTTTACATTAAAGCAGCACAAAAATTGCATGAAATGGATCCTCTTCAGAAGCCAAAACAAGACAGATATGCTCTTAGAACTTCCCCTCAATGGCTTGGCCCTCAGATTGAAGTAATCAGGGCAGCAACCAAAATGATTGAAAGAGAGATCAATTCTGTGAATGATAACCCCTTGATTGATGTATCAAGAGATAAGGCTTTACATGGAGGGAATTTCCAAGGAACCCCAGTTGGTGTGTCAATGGACAACACTCGTCTGGCAGTTGCTGCAATTGGCAAACTCATGTTTGCTCAATTTTCTGAGCTTGTTAATGACTACTACAACAATGGTTTGCCTTCAAATCTGTCTGCAAGCCGCAATCCGAGCTTGGATTATGGTTTCAAGGGAGCAGAAGTTGCAATGGCTTCTTACTGCTCAGAGCTTCAATATCTTGGTAACCCTGTCACCAATCATGTCCAAAGTGCTGAGCAACACAACCAAGATGTGAACTCTTTAGGCTTAATCTCTGCTAGGAAAACAGCTGAAGCTGTTGACATATTGAAGCTCATGTCTTCAACTTTCTTGATCGCCCTATGCCAAGCCATTGACTTGAGGCATTTGGAAGAGAATTTGAAGAACGCTGTGACGAACACAGTTAGTCAAGTGGCTAAGAGAGTCCTAACCATGGGATCCAGTGGTGAACTTCATCCATCAAGATTCTGTGAAAAGGACTTGCTCAGAGTTGTCGATCGCGAATTTCTCTATGCCTACATTGATGATCCCTGCAGTGCAACTTACCCATTAATGCAGAAGCTGAGACAAGTACTAGTAGACCATGCCTTGATGAATGGTGACGGAGAAAAGAATTCAACCACTTCAATTTTCCAAAAGATTGGAGCCTTTGAAGAAGAAATAAAAACCCTTTTGCCTAAAGAAGTAGAAAGTGCTAGAATCGAATTCGAAAATGGGAATCCAGCTATTCCTAACAAGATCAAAGAATGCAGGTCCTATCCATTGTACAAGTTTGTGAGAGAAGTTCTTGGGGCTAATTTATTAACAGGTGAGAAGGAAATTTCTCCAGGAGAAGAATGTGACAGGGTTTTCTCAGCAATGTGTGCAGGGAAGTTGATTGATCCTTTGCTGGACTGCTTGAAGGAGTGGAATGGTGCGCCTTTGCCTATATGCTAAGGTGTTTTTCAAGTTTCAAACTGCAACAAGTGCCACACTGTTTTATAATTAGTTCTTTTATATGTGCCAACAAGAGATATAGTTTTTCTACGAAAATTTGTCAAAAACAAAAACTCCTGCTGTTTTAAGTTATTGGTTTTTTTTTTATTGCTTTTATTAAATGTTTCTTTTGTACCAAGAACTTCATTATACTACAATTTAATATAGATAAGAGTGTTTTTGCACCTCTATAACTGTAGGAATATTGATTCAAATCCCATAAGAGATTTGTTTGGGATTTATTAGAGATTTGTTTGAGATTTGTCAGATATTGCTTGATGTACAAGAAAACTTGCAAAAGAAAAATTCTAAGAGAAAGAGGATTCTTAATAAGTAAGTTTGACTTGTAAGAAAAGAATTCTAAAAGGAAAGAGATTCTTAATAGGAAAGTTTGACTTATAGGAGAAGAATTCTAAGAGGAGAGGGATTTTTAATGGGCAAGTTTGTATGGTTATAAATAGGTGAAGTCTCTACAGGGTTAGGTATGAGAAAAAGATGTAAGAGAGTTGTAGGGTTTTGTGGGATAGACATCCTATAAGAGTATTGAGATTTTACGTCTTATGGGTGTGTATGTTTGTTTGTGAATGGACTAGAAGAGACTGAAAGGGTCCACATAGGTATGATGTATGGGAGCATATGGATATGTGTTTGGTTATGTTGAAAGGTGCACAAGGGTTTGGTTTGTGTTTGTTTGGGTGAGAATACTCTTAGACTAGAGGAGATTGAGAGTGTCTTATGAGTATTGATTGTTGAGTGAGGTTGATGATTTGATGTATGTTTGTAATTCTCTACAACTAGTAGATCTTGTTTCTCATCCGTGGATGTAGGTCAGTTGGACCGAACCACGTTAAATTATTGTCTCTTGTGTGTTTGATTTATTGTTTGATTTTGCTTCCACTGGTGTGATTGGATTGGAAGCTTTTAGCCCAACAAATGATATCAGTGATTGGATTGAAAGCTTTTAGCCCAACAAATGATATCAGAGTTGTGGTGATCCCTAACAAATAGTATCAGAGCTGTGGTGTTCCCCAACAAGTGGTATCAGAACTGAAGGTTCGAAACGTGAGAAGAGTTAAAGATTCAAGATGTGGAAAGAATTGATGGTTCGAGACATAAGAATAGTTAATAGTTCGAGATATGAGAAGAGCTTGGTTTGAGATATGAGAAGAAGTAAGCTTAGAGGAGCTCGATTCAATAGAAGAGTTCGAGTTTAAGATTGAGGATTGGTTTGTATGAAGCGTGAAGACACAAGAGAAGATGATTGTGAGACTTTCATTGCAGGTGGAGCCAAGCATGTCTAGCATGAAGACATATGATTAATGAAATTTGAGTCAAGGTGGAGATTGTTGGAAATATTGACTCAAATCTCATAAGAGATTTGTTTGGGATTTGTTAGAGATTTGTTTGAGATTTATCAGATATTGCTTGATGGACAAGAAGACTTGCAAAAGAAAAATTCTAAGAGAAAGATGATTCTTAATAGGTAAGTTTGACTTGCAAGAAAAGAATTCTAAAAGAAAAGAGATTCTTAATAGGCAAGTTTAACTTACGGGAGAAGAATTCTAAGAGGAGAGGGATTCTTAATGGGCAAGTTTGTATGGTTATAAATAGGTGAAGTCTTTACAGGGTTAGGTATGAGAAAAAGATGTAAGAGAGTTGTAGGGTTTTGTGGGATAGACATCCCATAGGTGTATTGGGACTCTACGTCTTATGGGTGTGTATGTTTGTGAGTGGACTAGAAGAGACTGAAAGGGTCCACATAGGTATGATGTATGGGAGCATATGAGTATGTATTTGGTTATGTTGAAAGGATGCACAAGGGTTTGGGTTTGTGTTTGTTTGGATTGAGAATACTCTATAGGACTAGAGTATATTGAGAGTATCTTATGAGTATTGATTGTTGAGTGAGGTTGATGATTTGATATATATTTGTAATTCTCTACAATTAGTAGATCTTATTTCTCATCCGTGGATATAGGTCAGTTGGATCGAACCACGTTAAATTATTATCTCTTGTGTGTTTGATTTATTATTTGATTTTGTTTTTACTGATGTGATTGGATTAGAAGCTTTTAACCCAACAATAACAGTTTATAACATCTATAATAATCTACAATATCTATAATTTATACCTATATATAAAAACAATCCCCATGCTCCAATTGACTCCGAATTTTGGCCGAATCAGCATTTCTACTATTCATTTTACCCGATCACTATTCACTTCATCTAAGCTCAATATGGACTGAACGGAGATTTATTATTTGTTGAGGATATCTGGCTGAAAAAAAAAGAGAAACGGGGAGAGTTTAGAAAGGGATAAAGTTTTGGTTGAAAATAGAGGGGGGAAGGGTCTAAAAAAGGGATAAAGCTAAACAAAAAAAATTTTGATTAGGTGATTGAGAGAAAAAGATAATGAGGGAATGATTTTCATTTTTTAAGCTTAAGATGAGATTGAATTAGAGTGGGAAGTGAGAATTCTCCTCTGATTGACAAACAATTTCATGAAAAAAAGTTAATAGCTTTTTTTGAAACTGATGATAAAAAAAAGGGCAAAAGGAAAGAGATAACGAAAGGAATAGAGAAGAAGAGTGATAGTTTGATGTCTAACGGGGGAAAAGAGGTATGCTGGAGAAAGAGAAAGGAAAAGAGAAAATAGAGCATGGCCATGCATTGTGTTCGACGATGCCGGAATCAACCCACTTCATGCCTTCCGTTTTGGGTGTTCTATGGGTTATTATCAAGTGCAATCCCTGTTGTTGAAGGCATTTGGATTTTCATGTAAGTTTTCAGATTCATATTGCATGTATTTGTATATTGCAGTTTTTCATATTTGTATTAGATTTGTTGAATCTGTGGTAGTCTGCAGTTACAAAATCATGAACAAATTGAGTCAAATGCAGTTTATAAAGTTTTAGATTGTAAAGGTAAATATTATTCTAAGTTGTGGAATGGAGTAATCTACCGATGCCATGGATTTACTACAAATTTTTACAAAAATTGCTGCATTATTTCGTGGTATTGACATTTTCTGTGCAGTATAAACTTTGTAGATGCTCTTAGAGAGCTAGGGGCTGAGGTAGATTAAATTTTATCATACTGATCTATTTTTACAGGTTAGTGATCATTTCTAGCTTTTTATTATCATTATAGGTTTAATATACCAGTTTTATTAATTTGGTCATCCTACATCTACTTTTATGGTATGTAACTACAGAAACTTATTCTGACATGGTTAATTCCTTTCGCCACTACTGCATCCCTTGGGTCAACTTTCAACCAAGAACTATGCTTCAACATTAACCAAACTACTGTTTTAATCGGAGCTCTCTTTGTATGATTTTTTAATTATAACAATGTTTAAGAATTGATCCCTTAAGGTTGGTTTATGAATTACAAGGTAAGTAAAAGTTTGTTAAACAATTTTAGTTTGAGAAAATACACACAATGACACAAACAGTTTACTATAATTGTTATAACAAGGTAAGTAACTGGGAACTGCTAGGAATCATACAAATAATCTGAAGAAATTGGTAGTAATGAAACTGAGAAATGATGGTTATGAAGCTTATCTTTGCAAAACTTCATGGGTCTGCAATTCTAACCATCACAAAGGTCTCTTTCTCATTCTTAAACGGTTAAATTGATAAGATGAAAAACCAAAAATTTCTTTCTTATGAGTATATACATATTTAATATTGGTTTTTGTTTCTTTTTGTTTATACTTGACTGCCTTTTTCCTTCAAACTGTGATACCGATTACTTACTTGCATGCTAAGAAAGTTAGCCTTCCTGCATAATGAAATAGGAGGGAGGCTAACGATGCAAGAAGGAGCGTAGCGTAATCAAAGAAAGAGCTAAGAGCTAAATATTTTACTATATTTTTTCTTTAAACTGAGATACTAATTACTCACTTGCATGCTAAGAAATGGCAATAGAATCAAGCATAAAAAGTACAACCGAAAACAAAAGAAAAAGATCAAAGAAGCAATTGTTCCTCCCAATGTCTTTTTGAAACCTATACAAGCACGGACATCCTTGCCCATCCATTTTCAATTTTTTTATTTATTTTTAAAAATGTTATTTGTTGCAGAAATCTGTGAAACAAGATTCTAACAAGTCAAAGAATGACAAGGAAAATGCGGCTACCTTTGCCATGTTATTGAAGGTAATATTTGATCATAAGATCTTAGTTTTTTCTATGACATTTGTTAAAATCAGGCATAACTTTAGTGAAATTTTTTCTAACAAGCCCCACCTTAGTTTCTACTGCAGCAAAAGGCCAAGAGTTTGGGAATCAAAAATCATTTCAAAATATCGATGCAGAAGAATATATTGCTACCACTACTAGAGAACAACCTTCAAAAAAGAAAAAGAAATCCAAACATACCCAAGTAAGAAACCCAAACAAGTTAATGATATGACAAAATTTGCTAAATATGTGCTGTCTTGCTCAATCCCATAGTGCAAATGTACTATTTTTTAGTAACTGGCTGATATTGGACTCTTCATGGTCTGCATGCATCAACCAGTCAGAAAACTCATATATTGAAATTAACTTCTCATTTGTTTGTATGTGAAGTAGCTTGGCTTCTTGCTTTCTCTATTTCTTTGTATTAAAGAAAAAGATGTTGAGTTTTAAGTCATATTAATCGGAATAAAATACTTTAGTTAGCTTTCTCCAAGACACCAGGAAATAAAGATGTTGGCAACGGTGAGGATATACCCACACCTAATGTAATTTGTCAGGATGATATTAACAAGAGTGGGAGCTGTGACCAAGTATTAAGAACTGTCATAATAGGTTTGCTCATGTTTTGGATTCTTATAGCATTCATTGCATGATTATATGATATTGAAAGCCCTTTCTTTGTATCTCAATAAGATGAAAGTGGCACCTTCTATTACATACCATAAGAAATTTTAACCGTTTTTATTTTTTTCTTTGATTGTTTTAAATGTTATCAATGAAAAGCTTCAAAGTTGATAATTAATTAATAATTTATGATTTTCTAGAGTATTTTTTAGCTTCACCAATTAGAACATTTTTATTTCAGAAATGATGGTTCGTATGATAAATTTTTTTAACTTCTTTTATTGAAGTTTACTTGAAGCATACAATTTTAGATGAATGAGTTATAGAATTAAATTTATGTATTATTATTTGATAGTCAATCCAAAACTTATTTTAATCTAAAAATAAAAAAGATAATTATAATATTAAAAATTTTTGTTGTAATTCCCAAGAAGCCTTCTAGATTTTGTTAGGTTTTATTGCTATTCTTGACATGAATCTCAACTTTTGCATTTATTATTGGGGACTGAACGTCATGTGCATAATGTCAGCTTTTATTGGTTTGCAGATCTGTATATACACACACACACACACACACACACACATTAATTTATTCACGTGTGCAGCATGCATGTATATGCATAATCATCTAGTTCTGAAAGTGTCTCTGTTAAAATTCTTGCTATAACTGTTGTCGCAGATCACTTGTTGCCAACTTATCAGCTGCAAATTGTTACAAAGTAGAGCATTTAAAGAGACCGGAAAATTGGGCACTAGGCATTGCTACTCTTTCAAACACTTTCTTGTTGCTTAGCTTCCAGCTCTATTTCTTTTTGTTGGCTATGAGATCTTTCCCAGCTCACCTTTATAGAATTCCCTATTTGATCAGTTGAGAAGGCAAAATATTTCTACATTGCTGGGTTTTTCCTTACTGTATCCCCTGAATGCATTCAACTTGTTGCTGAACATGCTGCTGCTGCAAAGAACAAGGTAAAACTAGTGGAATTAACTTGCAAAGTACTTTCATTGGCTTTAATGACTGTTTACTTATTTATTCACAATTATTTTTATCATATTTATTAGTTTCAACCACCTTTATTACACATTTGCAGGTTTTCATGATGAACCTTTCTGCTCCATTCATCTGTGAGTTCTTCAGGGATGCACAGGAGAAAGCTCTGCCGTAGGTTTTGTGATCCTTATTTCTTGATAACACCAATCAGCTGAACTGGAGCTGATGGGCCTTTTGGGTGCAGGTACATGGACTATGTCTTTGGCAATGAAACTGAAGCCAGAACATTCTCAAAGGTTCATGGCTGGGAGGTACTTTTCTATTAATGGCTACTTTGTTGAGTAAAAGTACTCCACTTTATTTTTATTTTTTATTTCTCACAAATTGCCTTTTCTTGTATTTGTCTTTGATGACCAGACTGATAATATTGAGGAGATTGCTGTAAAGATTTCTCAATGGCCCAAGGCTTCAGGAACACACAAGAGAATTGCTGTTATCACCCAGGGGGCAGATCCTGTTGTGGTTGCTGAGGATGGGAAAGTGAAATTATTTCCTGTTATCTTGTTACCAAAGAGAAGTTGATTGATACCAATGGAGCTGGTATATCTCTCTTCTTACGTTTTCTAAGTCAAAATGGTCACCTAACCTCGACTACAAGATGTATCCCTACTCTTGAAGTCTTTTAATATGCATCCTAATGTCAAGAATTTGAGCATAACTACTTTGCACATGGATGGATTTTGGTTAAGCATATGACATTCCAATTTATTTAAGTATTGGACCATTGGCTAACAAAAATATTATATTAAGGGATCAATTATTAGGAAATAAAAACTGATTCTCTAATTCACCTTTTGTTATTTTGAACCCTTTCTATATAATATATCTATAATATATATTTATATAAATGACATGTAATATATATAGTATATGTCAGATTTTTGGCTTGAGTAGACTTTTGGATTGCCAACATTTTAAAATTCAATCAAGTTTTTGTGATATTTGTCCGTTACTCTTTTGAATTTGCAAAACCCAACCCCCACCTGCTAACATGAAAAGGAGAATAAGGATGCATTAGAATTACGTTGTTATCATATTAGATATAGTTCTATTTGGTGTTTAAAATTTGCTGATAGAGCGATAGGATATTAATGTGGCCCAAGTTGAGTAAGCATTTTTCATAGTAGGAAAATGTTACTAACATGTCCGTCATTTCTTTGTATTGTATGGCTTTCCATTTGTCACTGATTAACAGCTTATTCATCTCTGCCTATTGAACCTGCTCCTCCCTTTCTTGATAGATTCAAAATATCTGGACTATAGTAAGTTTAATATTCTAAGCTCTCAGAAGATGGTCTAATCAAGTTATTCACTATCAAACTATTGCTTCTGTTATTAGTTATCACCAGTTCACCACTATCGCCCAGAACTCAATGAGCATTAGAATAATGAAATCAAGGAACAAATACAACTTTTGCGGCTTCTATCCTGATCATGGTTAAGTGGAAATTCTCTTTGGAAATAGCTTATCGGCTTTGATACTGCTTTTCCTTTTGTGGCAGGGGATGCAGTTGTTGGTGGATTTTTGACACAGCTAGTCCAAGAGAAGCCCATTGAAGAATGTGTAAGAGCTGGTTGCTACGCAGCAAATGTTATCATCCAAAGGTTAGGCTGCACATATCCTGAAAAGCCTAACTTCACTTAAAAAGACTTGTGCCCCTTGTCTCTGGCACTTATTTTCTGGAAGTTGTAAGAGTTAACCTTTTGGCCGAGTCATAAGAGCAACTGTGGAAATCTGCATTATTTGCTCCTGTATTCTCGTATCTGGTGCAGGAGATTATTCTTTTTCAGTTTTTTTTTTTTCTTTTCTCATTCATGGTTTAATGATATTAATCCCGGAACTTGATTGAGAACTATGTGGTGTTATTTAAATGCGGATTGTTCATCAGCCTTCGAGTTTTTGAAATGGTGAACTAAATAGGATTCAAGTATGAGAATATTGGAAGATCTTTATGTATAAGTCAGGCCATAATTTGTTGGTCTGATTCTTATTGATGAATGCATTACTGGTCAATTCCGAAGTTGTTGTCAATAAAAAAAAATGGTGCCTCTGTAGCTATTTTTAAAGTCGGAAGCGCTCCCCTATCATCTCATGTGGGTCGTACTAATTCAAATATAGCAATTCGGCATCTTTCACGTAACTCATTATTATTTACTTTTACTCAGATCGCTAACCAGAATGAGAATATGGCTGGCACTGGTTTTATTGTTGTTGGCGTCTCAGATTGTTTGACTTACACTTACAGCAGTATCATTGTTGTTGCTGAGACCCTTTGAATCCCACCCAGATCAGAGTAGTTCTCAGTGACCAATCATGTAATAAGATTTGTTTCTGCAAACTCATAATTTTCCGAAAACATTCGGTTTCTCATAGAAGGATAAAACAAAGTTATTTAATTTCATTAGGACAAAGGTTAAAACTTGGTTGTAGCTACAAATTTAGAAAGAAGTTGATAGTAGACCTGGTTGAAGCTTAAACATTTGAGGTTTCTAGTTGTCTATGAATCCCCTCATCTTGGTCCGGGTTTCTTAAGGCCGTGACAAGTTTAAAATATAAGCGTAAGGCTTCAGACATCGATAAATGACTAAATGAGCATTAAAATATGAAAACAAAATAGTTGACATAAATTAACTGTCATGAGTTTAGATTAATTCAATTCAAAGTTGACTTCTCCATGAACCAATGGAGTTAGGTTACGGATTCATCATTTTTCTGTTCATTGAATTCTTCTAATAATTTTTTACATCAATGGGAGATTCAGAATAAAAAATTAAAAAAAAAAAGAAGGAAATGATTATTACAACAAATGAGGTTTTTGTAGGGATTTTCTTTTATTAAATTAAGTGAAAGACCTTTGGAAATAAATCATTAAATTTGTATACAAATTGTATAAACACCAAAAATCCGTCTGTTGCACAATGAAAGGTGAAACAAGTCAGAACTTAAACTTTGTAAAATACTAGTAGATCAGAGAGAGCAAGCTATAATATTTTGAACTGAAGTGCATTTTCTACAAGAAACAGAATCAAAATTCGTGATTTACAACAAATTCCGTAGTAGTTTTCTTGCACTTTGGACTTTCGATAAACATCAAGGGTGAACCTTGGAAACAAAGTTGAGACCTTTGATCTTGTTGAGAGGCAGCTGCATACCTGGGGACGTCTTTCGGAATATAGTAGTCTTCCTCAAGCAAGCAAGACCACATATTCCAATCTCTAATATGGCCCTAAATTGAGCAAATTGTGCAAATTGTGTACTTTAGAACAGTTGCAACAACATTTCTGCACTTATGGAAACATTTTCTTAGACCTTTGCTTTTCGTTCTTTAACACTACGCGTATGTATGTATGCACATGTGTGTACGTGTCTCGATCTTATGAAAGAGAGATATAGGACGTCATTGGAGGTGTTTGTTGGAAGAAATTAATGGCATCTCTTCTTTAATTTACTAGTTCCATTTTTGAAACCATAGATAAAAATTTTTAATTAAGTAGAAAAGCATGAGATTTGAGGGCGACAAGAAGGATTTGTCTCTTTTCGTCATCCAGTGATTTTTTTTTTTTAATGATCTATCATTGCCAAATTGTATATTTTATTTGATAAGTTAAAAGAAATAGAAAATTATATACCCCATATGGGAAAAGATATTATTAGACAGCAATGTGATAGAGTTGGTTGAGAAAATTTAACGAGTTAAAGTACGTACATGTACAAGTTGCAATTCGTGTGATATGTTCAGACAGAATTAAAGGGGTCCGACCGGTTATTCCTTTACTATATTGAATTTCTTTAAAACAAACTGCTAAGAAATCCTTATAAATACCAAATAATAGTTTTCTTAAAAAATATTTCAAATGAGAGAAGAACTCATTTGAAAAAAGAGATAAAATATGACAACCAAGAAAACCATGAGTCACACGCTGATAATTTTGGCATTGACATTATTCATGATGACTATGACAGAAACTGGGTTGAGCCAAGAGCTATCTCCATGCATGAGGAATTGCTTGCTTGCTTGCCTTAAACGGCTGCAAAGTGCTGTAGCTGCATGTGAGACAGAATGCAAAAACTTCTGCAAACAAAACTGAAGGAATTAAACCATGGCACTAATGGAGGTTGACGTTGGACTTCTGGCCAAGCCACTTGATGATTTATTACCAAGAAAATTAATATATATATACGTGATAATTAACACTTCGTTTGATAGAAGTGTGAAAAAGATAAAAGAAGGAAAAAGTTTTTAATTTATTAAATAATTTTCCATCTTTTGTTCGTTTCATCCTTTCTATCAAATTAATTAGCGAAACCTTCAAATTACCATGATTTTTTTTTCTTTTTCAAGATGGATGGATTGATCATTTATATATATATATATATATTGTAATTACTAATAAGAGATTTGAAAATGCCATAACTTAATGGGTGTTTTGATATGTACTGTTTTAAGTAATATCTGTTTTTCATTGTTGTTTTCTTTTTTCGGTTGGTAATTGTATGTGTAAAAGTATAAAACATTAATATTTCATTGATCAGATTGGTTAAACTTGCAATTGCTACTTGTGTTTTTTTTTTTTTTAATAAACAAGACGACTATTCGATAAAGTAAAAGAGATTGGCCGGGTCAGCAAATGAGTTTTGAAATACTAAAAATTTCAAATTAGAGTTTTATAAAAAAGTTATAACTATTAGGAAACAATATTTAATAAAATTTCTAAATAGATATTTTTTTAAAGTAATTTTAATTTGATAATTACTATCTTTTAAAAAATCTCACTTCAAGTTTTCAACAACACATTCGTTTTTATTTAAAAAATAATAATAATATTAATTTTATCTATATCTTCGACAAAAAATTTAATTATTTTATTTGAATGAAAATAAAAATGAATATAAATATAAATTTGGAGGATAGTTTAAAAACATTAGAAGTCAATAATGATTTTGTTCCTTTGACATCGTGGGATTATCGAATGAACAGTATAGATATGTCTACGAATAGGAAAAATTCCACCCCTATATAATATAATCTAAGAATATAAACATAATTAACTTTGGGGGTCCCATAAAAATCACCCAAGAATTACAATCTTGATCAAGAGATAAACATCCATTTACAGCCTGGGGGAGATATAAACCCTAGATGTCCCTTTCCATCAATTTTTATAAAATCTTTTCGTGCAAGTGGCCTAATATAATACGCCCAATCTTGCCTCATCAAAGCACCAAATATGGTACGGTCCACATAATTGGCATCAACTTCCCGTTCACGTTAGTCCACTTTCACTCTCCCTTTCTAACTTACGCCGGATGAGATTTTCAAGACCTAGCTTTCTCTCTTGCTCTGTTCTTTGCCGCTTGTGAGGAGTAATGTCCAGATTTTCAAGCTGTTTCAAGCGGTTCCCCAGGTTTTATTTCTTTTTTCACATTTCGTTGATGATTTTTCACTAAAAAAGTTTCAATTTTTTACCTTAAAACTTGCAACTGTATGTAGTTTCAGTTGAAGAAAACAAAGAAACAAGAAAACCTACGTGGGAAAACATGTCAAAAACATCGAATCTATTGTTTTAGAGAATTGGGATTTTGTTATTTTTTTATGCTTTACTATGAAACTTCCATCAGCAATGTAAGCAAAGGGTTAATTTTTTTGATTGGTTTATATTGTTGTTGTTATTTTGAATCTTTGTTGTAAATGGGAAATGTGGAAATACCAAAATGGCTAAAAGGGTTGCCATTGGCACCTGAATTTAGACCAACAGATACTGAGTTTGCTGACCCCATTGCATATATATCAAAGATTGAGAAAGAAGCTGGTGCTTATGGTATATGTAAGATTATCCCGCCATTGCCAAAACCATCAAAGAAGTATGTTTTTAATAACTTGAATAGGTCGTTGTCCAAGTGTCCAGAATTAGGAAGTGGTGTGGATGTATCAAAGAATATTGGTTCTGTTTCGAGCTGTGGGGATAGTGGTGGGGATGGAAGGGCGGTGTTTACGACTCGGCATCAGGAATTGGGACAAAGTGGGAAGGGAATAAAAGGGTTGGTTAGTAGCCCACAATGTGGTGTTCAGAAGCAAGTGTGGCAAAGTGGGGAGATTTATACATTGGAGCAGTTTGAGTCCAAGTCGAAGACTTTTGCAAAGAGTTTATTGGGTGTGCTTAAGGAGGTGTCACCATTGGATATAGAGGCATTGTTCTGGAAGGTCGCTTCAGAGAAGCCTATATTCTTGGAATATGCTAATGATGTCCCTGGATCAGGTTTTGGGGAACCAGAGGGTCAATTTCAGTATTTCCATAGGAGGAGGAGGAGGAGGAGGAAGAGAATGTCGTACAGGAGGGAAAGCTCTGATTGCAAGAAAGATGAGATTGATACTGTAAAGAATTCACATATTGATGAGATTAAAAATACTTCCGATAAAAGTGATCCTGATACATGTTTAGAAACACCAACATCCTCCACTCCATTGTCAACCCTGGCATCAGATGGAAATTCTCATTCTAAACGAAAGAGCGGAAATGCTAGTAATGATATGGAAGGTACTGCAGGTTGGAAGCTTTCAAACAGTCCTTGGAACCTTCAAGTGATTGCTCGCTCAGCTGGCTCACTTACACGTTTTATGCCTGATGATATTCCTGGTGTTACTTCTCCGATGATTTATATTGGCATGTTGTTCAGCTGGTTTGCCTGGCATGTTGAAGATCACGAGCTTCACAGCATGAATTTTCTTCATATTGGCTCTTCAAAGACTTGGTATGCTGTTCCTGGAGATTATGCATTTGCTTTTGAGGAAGTTATCCGCACTGAGGCTTATGGTGGTAATATTGATCGCTTAGGTATGTGATTTTTTTATTTCATATTAAGTCATTGGGTATTATCTGGGGTTGGGATTTACAAACAGATTGCATGCTCATTTTATGGTTTAGTGGTTATAGTAGACTTTTTGTTGGACTTTCTAATTTGGAATTGCTTCAATTTGTTGCTCACTAGTTATAGAATATGTTGCAGGCTTATGAATTGTGATTTTTGCTAATTTCCTAGTATGTTTAGACTTACCTCCCTTTGAGTAAAATATTTGACAACTATGAGCACTTAGTTGATTGTTGCAACGTTTATGTCTTTCTTTTTAACTCAGTTTCAGTTACCTTTATTGCCAGCTGTCCTGTCATTACTGGGTGAGAAGACAACTCTTCTATCACCTGAGTTGATTGTTGCATCTGGCATTCCTTGTTGTAGGTGAGTTATTTGTATTCTTTTTAGTAATTTTGTCTTTGATTTCCCCCCATCCCCTAATGATTTTGAAATTCATAGATGTGATAATGTTAACATCCCATACTTGGAAAATTTTTGAGGTTTGGATTTTACAGCAGAGTCTGCCATTTGTTGTGTTCTTCTGAATGTTCCGAAGTTCTACTCATGTTTATTCTGTTGTTTCTTTAGGTTAATACAGAATCCTGGTGAATTTGTTGCACAAAGAGTCTGCCATTTGGTTTTTTTCTTCTGAATGTTCTGAAGTTCTACTTATGTTTATTCTCTTTAGGTTAATACAGAATCCTGGTGAATTTGTTGTGACTTTTCCGAGAGCCTACCATGTAGGATTCAGCCACGGTAATTGCTTTGTAGTTGGATTTCACCTTTATGAGAATTTTATTGGCTGTCGAGCTCCTGACTGGGGATTGATATGTGCACATTTATGTTTTATATTGACAATTAGAACTACAAAATAGAAATTGTGCAAAAATTAAATGAATGTGTCGGTTTAATTGCTTACTTTATTTAAGAAAAAGGAAATTTTCATTTCCTTTCTGGATAGGTGCACAGCTTGGATAGTGAGGTTTAATACACATAAATGATATGAAAATGATAGGCATGACTTAATGAATATACTTACATATGAAATTTTGGGGCTCGAGAAGGTTCTGATGAGTTTCACTTCCTCTGTCAGTTTTGTAAATTAATGACTGGTAATTATGAGAATAATAGTTTTCTTTTCCTTTTAAATTTCTTCGTGGGGGGCCAGGGGGCAAGAAGGAGTGGATGGGGTAGGCCTTCATTGACAAAGTGTTTTGGATCTGGATTGGCTGGGGGATGAGCTTATTTAGTTATCATTAGTGAGCAAGGTCTTGCTGATGGTGATCTCATTAACAAGTATATTTAAAGGTATTTAAACTGAGTTCTGGAGGAGGATTTCTTATTTGCAAATATCCTTAAAATATCTGTGATGTTACCCTGGAACTGGAATTAGGACTGACTAGAATTTGTCAATATATATTTATATTACAAACACCACTGCAATGAGGAGGGACATGTTGCATTGGTCTATGTGAATCTACGTACCAATATTGTGTAAGACCCAAACTATTACTGAAGTCTTTGATCTGCTCTGAGAACTATGCTACGAGTCTTATTTTATTTGTTCATCTCATCTGGGAAACCCTAGCAAGGAATTTACTGTAGCCTTTGTTTGCTAATTTTAATTCTCATTGATTGTCATGGTCAATTTTTTTGCTAAGCAGGTTTTAATTGTGGGGAAGCTGCAAACTTTGGAACTCCACAGTGGCTTCAAGTAGCTAAAGAAGCTGCAGTTCGTAGAGCTGCTATGAACTATCTTCCAATGCTTTCTCATCAGCAGCTGCTGTACCTTTTGACCATGTCTTTTGTGTCAAGGTCAGATTGTATTTATTTAAGCAAACTACTGACTGAAGTTATGTTATACCTGTTATTCTGAAATCTGCACTATGAAGATTTATACTATCATTATTTTTAGGTCAACTGGTGTTGCCTGATTCAGGTAGCATATCAGAATAGCAACAATGGGCCTTAAAGGTAGCTATTTCTGATTAGTGTGATATTAAATTCATAATTTGTAAGGCTGGGTATTGTAATCTAAGGGTGGGTCTATAAATGCAGGGGCTGGCTTACTTGCTTGCAAGGCAGGGTTTGTTATCTAGTTTTGGTTCTGGCAAGACTAATATTGGACTCTAAACTAACTGTGCTTTTAGTTTTTAGAGCAGACTAACCAAATTTATGGCATGATGTTGCTTAAACAGTTTAATCAACTGCAGTTAATCCTAAATAACTCACCAATTATGCCATCTTTTTTTTTTTTTTTTTTGTGAATTTCATCAAGTTTAATACTCTTAGAATTAGTGGTGGTTCTATTGAACATGGAATTTGGCATAAATCTTTTTAGTGCTTTTCATCATTTTGAATTTTGGTTGTAATAATATCTATTGAGTTGTCTTGTTGTTTCTCAAGTTTGTTTCACTTAATTTGTACTGATTCCAGGGTGCCAAGATCCTTTTTACCTGGTGCTCGGAGTTCCCGATTGAGAGATCGCCAGAAGGAAGAAAGAGAGTTGTTAGTAAAGAAGGCTTTTATAGAAGATTTATTAACTGAAAATAAATTTTTATCTCTTCTTAAAAGAGGATCAACTTGTCGTGCAATAATATGGGCTCCTGATTTACTACCTTGTACGAGCAAGGATTCCGAATTCCCCAGTGGAAGTGCTACAGTTTCTACAGTACTGCAAGAAAATGTTTCTGATATTCATTGTGAAAATAAGACTAATCAAAATAATCTCTTAGAAGAGATGAGCTTGTACATGGAAAATCTGAACTATTTATATTTGAATGATGATGATTTGACATGTGATTTTCAAGTTGATTCGGGGACATTGGCTTGTGTGGCTTGTGGAATTCTGGGTTATCCATTTATGTCTGTGGTACAACCATCTGAGGAAGCAACAATTCAACCTCTACCTGCTGATCATCTTTTGGTTCAAGGTTGTCCAACAGTCTTGGAACCTAAGAATGCTCAATCCTGCCCTGGTCTCGATCACCCTATTGAGAGCTCAGTTTCAGGTATTGGGCCCCTTTTTAAAAATTTGTTGTTTCTCCTATTTATCATCAGTTCCTTGGGATTTCATGTTCTGCTTCATCCTAATTGTCACATACATAGTAGGATTATTTTCCTATAACTTCAATATCTGTTGCCATAAACATGGAGCATATGAAAGGATGATGATGCCAGTTATTGTTGTAGGAAAGTTTGTTAAGACTGAAATTAACCACCTATTTTGCTGCTTTATATTATGACTATGTTTCTATAAATTTAAATCGATGACTCCATAGACATTGCACATGGGTATCAATAAACTGCATTGTAAAACAGTGATTGATAAATCCCGAATTAAGCTTCCATCTTGGTGTGTTGTGTTTGGATTATATTCCTATAACTTCAACTTACTCCACCAGATATGCCTTGTTTGAGGGAATAATAATACCCTCCTGATCAGCTAAACTGATAAGATAATTTTTGAAAATTGGAAACTAGCCTTGCATTATGGTGCATTTTTTTAAGAAGATCTTAGAGAAGTTGCTGTGTTTGTCTCAAAGCTCCTCGAAAGCAGCTCGTTTCCTACATTATTCGCTTAAGTAGAGTTGCTCGATGTATGCAGAATCACTACTGTAATTATTACAAAACAATTATGCTGATCCTTTGATATTATGTACAGTTTGCTAGTCATTTTCTGATTTATCACATGTTTTAATAAGAAGCGTCTGTTGAAAATTGTGTTTTTCTTGCTTACTTTAGGTATGCCATTTTCTGTGTATGGTACAAAACCCTGAGTCTCATAAATTCATGCTGCATGTAGATAATGCATACCAAATATTCCGTACTTTTTTTTTTTTGTAGAAAACTTAAAGAACAATTGTCCTTATTTCTTCTTATTCTATCTAGAATGAAGCAGTATATCTAAATAAATAGGAACAGTGAAGTTCCTTATTAGGAAACAATTTACATGAAACAGAAAACAAAAAAATAATAAAAGGAAGGAGAATTATTCTATTCTAAAATAGAAACAAATCCCTAAAAGCTTGACAATCAGAATAGTTGACTAAATCAGAAGAATAAATGAGAAATATTCCCAAAATAAATTAGGAAATCAAGCTGCACTAATGTAGGAGAATCAGATCTGCACTAATGTAGGAAAATTAGATTTCTTCACTCCCCATCAAGCTAAGTTTTGAATGTTAATCATACTCAGCTCGGATTTAAATCTGTAAAAAATGCTTCCAGGAAGAGCTTTAGTAAGAATATCTGCAATTTGTGAACTTGTACGGATATAGGTCAGTTTGACCGACCCATTTTCTATCTTTTCCTTTATGAAATGTCAGTCCAGCTCTATGTGCTTGGTCCTATAATGATAAAAAGGATTTTGGCAATACTTATAGTAGCCTTATGGTAACAAAACGGTGTCATAGATGTCACAGTCTGAACTTTTAATTCTCCAAGTAACCTTATTGGCCAAATTCCTTCACAAATACCTTGGTACATTGCTCTAAACTTAGCCTCAGCACTGCTCCTAGCTACAGCAGCTTGCTTTTTACTTCTCCAAGTGACCAAATTGCCTCAAACGTAAGTGCAATATCTAGTAATGGACCTTCTCTCTATTACTGATCCAGCCTAATCAGCATCTATGTATGCCTCGACTGCATTGTCCATTGACTTAAAATATAGACCTTCACCAGGACTCTTCTTTAAGTACTGTAGGATGTGATGAACAGCCTTGAGATGCTCATTGGTTGGATTATTCATGTTTCTACTCACCATCCCTACTGCAAACCCGATATTAGGTCGTGTGTGGGAAAGGTAAATAAGCTTCCCAACTAGTCTTTGGTATCACCCTTTGTCTGCAAGAGAGCTTCTATTTTCACTTCCAATTTTATTAATTGAGTCCATGGGTGTATTGGCAGGTTTGCATCCAATCATGCTGGTTTCTTTGAGTAAATCAAGTACATACTTACGTTGAGACACTGATATTCCATTCTTAGACTGAGCCACTTCCATCCCAAGGATATATTTAAGGATCCCCAAGTCCTTTATTTCAAATTGCTTTGCAAGGAGTTCCTTCAAATCATCTATTCCTTCCTTGTGGTCTCTGGTGATTATGATTTCATCCACATAAACAATAAGAATAACTTTTTGTCCTACATTAGTGAACTTAACAAACATAGTATGGTTAGATTGACATTGAAAGAATTCATACCTTTTCATTGCCTTGGTCAACTGTTCAAACCAAGCCCGAGGAGATTGTTTAAGTCCATACAAAGATTTTCGAAGTTTGCACACTTTGCCCATGTTGTCTTGCTTTTCGAAACCAGGAGGAATTTTCATGTAGACATCCTCCTCCAAGTCACCATTTAAGAATGCATTCTTGATGTCAAGCTGGTGGAGAGGCCAATCGAAGTTGGGTGCTAGTGATGATAGAACTCTAATTGAATTGAGTTTGGCTATCGAGCAATTCTTTCCTCATAGTCTATCCCATAGGATTGAGTGAACCCCTTTGCAACAAGTCTAGCTTTGAATCTGTTTATACTTCCATCTACATTGTGCTTTATTGTGAAGATCTGCTTATATCCAACCGGGGTTTTTCCTTTAGGCAAATCTGAAATTTCGCATGTCTCATTCTTCTCTAGTGCCTTAATTTCTTCAAGAACTACTATCTTCCAATCTGGTTCATTGAGGGCTTTCTGAATATTTTTGGGAATTTTCACATTGTCAAGGTTAGTAGTAAAGGCTTAAACGTTTGGATTTAACCTGTCATATGAGATGTACTTGTAGATAAGGTACCAAGAGCATGATCTCACACCTTTTCTTAATGCAATAGGAATGTCAAGGTCACCAGCTGGCACACAAGTTTTAGTTTCAAATTCAATAGGGACATTACCTGTGTTAGTTTCAAGTTCTTGGAGACTCAAATCAGGTTGATTTTTATTGCTGGGCTGTGTACAGTTGGTCTGCTTCTCCCTGCGGTTTTTGCTTCCTTGAGTAGACTATCAGTTCTTTAGTTTTTTCTTTCATAACCTTAGGGTTTGAAGAGTCAAGAGTTGTCTGAACAGGTTGGGTTTCAGAATCTGCATGGCTGATAGGTTGGGTAGGTTGGGAATTTGGTTTTGAAGGGGCTAGTTGGGAAATTGGCAAGTCAACAGCTAAGAATTGATATTCCTGAGTAGTATTTTCCTGCTGAATATCATTCTTGCTGTAGTATGAAAGATTCATAAAGAAGGTGACATCCATAGAGCTATATAATTTTTTTGTGATGGGTGAATAACACTTATAGCCCTTTTGGTTTGGGGAATAACTAGGAAGGTGCATTTTAAGGCTTTGGGATCAAACTTGCTACGGTTTTGTTGGCTAATATGAACAAAAGCAATGTAGCCAAAGAGTTTGATGGGAATGGAAAAGATCAACTGAGTTTGTGGGTAGGAAGCTAGGAGAGTTTGACAAGGTGTTTTAAAGCCAAGAACTCGAGAAGGCATTTGGTTAACCAAATAAGTTGCACTGAGGATAGCTTCTCCCCAAAAATATTTAGGCACATTGGAAGTCAACAAGAGGGATTTGGTCACCTTTATCAAATGTCTGTTTCTGTGTTCAGCAACCTCATTTTGCTGTGGAGTGTCAACACAAGAGCTTTGATGGATAATGCCATGATTTGTGAGGTAAGGGCCAAGAATAGAGTTGAAGTATTCCCTTCCATTGTTAGTTTTTAGGACTTGGAATTTGGCTTGGAATTTGGTTTGTACCATGCTATTGAAGTTTTGAAGGTTTTAGCTAACCTTGGATTTTTCTTTCATAAGGAATACCCAAGTGAATCAGCGATGAATGTAACAAATCACCTAGAACCTGTGATATTGTTAACTCTTGATGGTTCCCAAATGTCACTGTGAATCATTAAGAAAGGTTGAGATTAGGGTTGGCAACGGGTTGGGTCGGGGTGGGTTTTTGCTCGCCCCGACCCGATTTTATAACCATAAAACCCGAATCCGAACCCGACCCGACCCAATTCGAAATTAATAAAATATTATTTTTTAAATATAAAATATTATTTTTTAAATATAAATATATAAATATATATTAAAAATTAAAAATAATTAAAAAATAATTTTTTATATAATATCGGGTCGAGTTTGCCTAAGACCCGAACCCGACTTTTCCGTAATAATACTTGACCTGACCCAACCCGAAACCCAATTAAAAAAAAAAAACTAATCCCATGGGGTTGGGTTGGAACCCGCCAGTTGCAGGCTTGGCTGCCAATCCTAGCTGAGATGATTTGTAGGAAAGGCTAGGATTGGTATTTCGAGTGTGCTTGGAAAGTTGACGAATTTCACACTTAAAATCTTTAGAAATGTTATTGAATAATGAGGGAAATAGCCTTTTTAGGTATGAAATATTTGGATGTCTTAATCTATAATGCCATAACATGATAAGGTCATCCTTACTAGTACTAGAGGCTAGGGTTGTACAAGAGTTTTGTGGTCTCTCAAGTGCATCATCTTGAAGAAGGTAGAGTCCTACACACATCCTAATATTGCCAATAATCCTCCTCGAGCCCAATTCCTGAAATTCACACAAGTTGGGAAAAAATTTAGTTACACAATATCTATCCTTCGTAAGCTTATTGATGGAAAGTAGGTTACAACATAAATTAGGGACATGGAAGACAGAGTCAAGTGTTATGTCTTTCGAAACTATAATAAAACCTGTTCTTGCCACTTTTGAGAGATAGCCCTCAACAATTTTTATAGCAGAACTATCATAGCAAGGTCATTATGTGTTGAATAAGGATGCATCTCCAGTAATGTGATATGATGCTCCTGAATCAACAATCCAAGATTGTGTATTTCCTCGTTGAACACTTAAGGTGTTTAGAAATTACCTTTTTGTGCTAGTAAACTAGTTCCAAAGGTTGCTAACTTGTTTTGAAGGGTTTGTTGGAGCATCACCTCTGCAGAAGAAGAGTTCTCACTCCTGCTAGTCATAATGGAAACTTGTGTGGCTACAGTCTAATGGCTTAGGTCAACTTGCTCTGATACCATGTAGAAAACATAGAGAACAATTGTCTTTATTTCTTCTTATTCTATCTAGAATGAAGGAGTATATCTAAATAAATAGGAACAGTGAAGTTCCTTATTAGGAAACAACTTTCATGAAACAGAAAACAAAAAATAATAAAGGAAAGAGAATTATTTTGTTCTAAAATAGAAACAAATCCCTAAAAGCTTGACAATCAAAATAGTTGACTAAATAAAAAGAATAAATGAGAAATATTTCCAAAATAAATTAGGAAATCAAGCTGCACTAATGTAGGATTATCATATTTCTACAGTTTTATTAATTTTTATATGTATACTATCATGATATTTTAAATAAACAAAATGGGAAGATTGTTGGAAGTGCTTTGATTTTCTCATCATTCAAGTTTATGGAAGAGGGTGGGTTATTTGCTATGATGCTATAGTTTGTTTCCTGGAAGGAAATTAAAGTATTTATTGAACGGAAGCAATTGCTTCACCACCGTTTTGGCCCCACAAAGTGATGAGTCATGTAAAACTAGTGCTTTGTTCTGCAGACAATGTCAATCATGTTGCTGATCTATCTCTACCCTCTAAGGATGGCCCATCACCATCAATAACTAAGTTTTCCGAAGGATGGGACACTACTAATAAATATCTGAGGCCTCGGATTTTCTGCCTGGAGCATGCTGTTCAAGTTGAGGAGCTTTTGCAGTCCAAAGGTGGAGCAAAAATGCTGGTAATTTGCCATTCAGGTGAGATTGCTTTAGTTATGTCTTCACCATTATTCTATACACCAAATTAGTAGATTAGCAAGTAGATTTAGGCTACATTCCCTTTCTTATCGACAACCTTTCAAAAAGGAGAAAAAGAAAAAAAAAAGTTAAGGGAGGGGTGGAGCTATATTTTGTTGAATGATTTTAAATATTGATAAAAGTTATTGTGTGATTTGTCACAATTAATCAATATCCATCTTCTTTTATCTGTAATACTTGCTGCTATCTGCGGTTCAACCATTCAATATGTATTTGCCATGCATTATTATGTTTAGAAATAGAGCATTTAATATATTTGCATCTTTGTTGAAGTTATGAATTAGTTCTTTACATCTTCTTTCCTCTGATGTCTGTAGACTATCTGAAAATAAAGCCACATGCAAAACATGTTGCAGAGGATATTGGTTTCCCTGTCAATTACACTGATATTCCATTGGATGCTGCATCCCAGGAGGATCTAAACTTGATCAGTTTTGCAATTGATAATGAAAATGATGAAATTGGAGAAGATTGGACCTCCAAACTTGGTGTTAACTTGCGATACTGTGTCAAGGTCAGAAAGAACTCTGCATTTAAGCAAGTTCAGCATGTACTGCCATTGAGTGGACTTTTCGCTGATAAATATGGCAGTTCAGAGTTATTGAACATCAGATGGAAATCGAGAAAATCTCGTTCAAAAGGCAAGTTAAACCATCCATCACCCTCTAAACCGCGTGGAAGTGTTGAAATGAAAGTGGATGAAATATTGGTGGAAAAGCTAGATGGCAACATTACTAAAAAGGAGCAGAAAATTATTCAGTATTCAAGAAAGAAAAAAAGAAAACCAGTTTATTCTACTGGAGTAGGTCAGGACCTTGAACTTTTTAAGGATGACCTGCCAAGGGAAGATTCTAGTGCTATATATGGCCTTCTTGATGAACTTGGTGGAAATAAATCCAAGATAAATGCCAAAAGTGCGTCTGCTAGGTCATGCCACACACAGCTTGAGATCCAGACTACCTCAGTTGTTGGAGTTGTACAAAAGGATCATAGCAAAATTTTGGAGTTGTCAGATCTGGATGGTGAAGCTTGTAGTTTGACAGCCTGTGCTAGTTCTCAAAAGCAATGTGAGATCAAGCTTATGGAGAGGACCAGTGAGAATAATGAGATTTCTCCTGCTGACAAGTGTTCTAAATGCTGTGTCGTTGCAGCTGCTGAAAGATTTGTTGAAAATGCTGCCACTTTTAGTGATGTTTGCAATCCAGTTTCTGAAGGACAGGGTGAGGAACTGGCTGTCAGGTATGATTTGATAAATCTTGCTAACTCGGCAAGTTCACATTTTGCTCAGCCATCTGCTGGAAGATTTGATCCAGGGTTTGAGGACATAATTTTTGAGAAATCTTGTATAAATGGAAGGGTTTGTACTCATATGACGTCTGATAACAGAGCGCAGCAAGAAACTGAAGCTATCAGCAGAAATAACAATGATGGCAATTTATGTGATAATAAACTAATAAATAAACCTATTTTGGGTTCAGAGGATTTTTCCAGTGGTGTATCTTTGGGAAAAGAAGTGCAGCACGAAACCAACACTAGCCGTGGAAGTCAGGTTGAGCCTTTTTTGAGTTCTCCCATCCCGACAAAGAGGCCTAGTACTGTCCCAGCGGGAAATAAATCTGAAATTCCAAAGGACCCTGCAGCAGCAGATTCACGTGATGGTACAATTTCCAAGAATAAAGCACGGAATCAGGAAATCCATTCAAGCAAGGAAGGACTTCTCTCTGGTTCTACTACGCCAGTGGGCATTGATCAGCCTACTGGTCTCTTAGTGGAAAAATATTCTGTAATTTCCGAGAATCCTTGTGCCATAGAAGACCTGCATACTGATGTGACCTTAGATGTTGAAGTGTTGCAAGAAATGCAAGCTACAAACCGGACCTGTGGGGATGAAGTAATTGCTTGTTCCCATTTACCAATCAAAGAAAAGCAGCCTACTCCCACAGTGATGGAAGCTTGCTCCGAGGTTCAAAGAGAGAGCAGCCTTCAAAAGAAGCTGTGTGCTGATGCAACTGTAGATGACAGACATGAAAATGACCTGATTAGAAATGAACAAAACCAGGACGAATCTGTTTCTTGCTGTGTTACACCTATAAATCAGACCACTATCCCAATCCAAAAGTACTCTAGAGCTCGTAGAGAGAGTTGTGCTACTGTGAATGAGAACGATGGTGGGGAAGTTTGTTCATTGGTAGAGAATAGAAATCTTGAGTCTGCAGAGGCAAATTGCAGATCAAGTGCCTTGAATGGAATAAAGAGGAAAAGAGAAGTGGAGGAAGCACCTGAAAAAAAGCTTGGTGGCAATGGCTTTATTAGAAGTCCATGTGAAGGATTGAGGCCAAGGGCTCAGAAAGATGCAACAAGTGGCATTAATGTAGGAAAAACATCCCAGGAGGTAGTGCCAACAAAAGAGACAAGGAAGCCTTCAATTCATACGCAGAGTAAGAAAATAATTAAAAAGGGTTCTCATAGGTGTGACCTGGAAGGCTGCCATATGAGTTTTGAGACGAAGGAAGAGTTGAGGTTGCACAAACACAATCGGTGCCCGTATGAGGGCTGTGGAAAGAAGTTCCGCTCCCACAAATATGCAATCCTTCATCAACGAGTCCACGAGGATGATAGGCCCCTCAAGTGCCCGTGGAAAGGTTGTTCCATGTCATTCAAGTGGGCATGGGCTAGGACCGAGCATATAAGGGTGCACACTGGAGAAAGGCCATATCAGTGCAAGGTTGAAGGCTGCGGCCTTTCTTTCAGGTTTGTGTCTGATTTTAGTCGGCATAGACGTAAAACAGGGCATTATATAGACTCTTCAGTCTGAAAGTTTGTCATTGCAGTTAGGTTACATCTGTTATGTACGGGGTATGGGCAACGGAGCTCTGGGGGCGAGGTCTACAAGGTATAGGTTAGGGCTAGACTGATCCTTCTGTAGGTGGGCATTCTCCAATCATTTGAATGCGGTTATAGTGGAAAATTCTTCCCACTATTTGTTTTGTTTGGATTGTTCTATGGCAATCCCTTTGGATAGAATCACTAATCCCCAAATAGGAATTCAATCTCCCAACTTTCATTCATTAGTATTCAAGTCTCTTCTTTCCTCATTGGTGGATAGTTTACTTGTAGATTTGCTAGTTTCTTCTTTTTCAGTTTCATTTGTTGCAGTAAACTAAGGTTTAGGTAAATCCCTTAACTAGTACTATCACATTGAATCAAAGTCAAACAAGTCTATGAACATTTATCAACAGGAAACCTTTTCATCCAGGAGCTATAACATGGATATTTCTGCCAACTCAAATAGTCCTCTCATCATGAACAAATAACATCATTTGATTTTCGTGCTCTGTATTTAGAAATCTGGGAATGTGAAACATTCCTCCATTTATTCTTTTACAGCAAACTGGCCTGCTTTATCTGGGGTTTAAATTCAAAAGCATTCGGTAACTAAAACCCAAACTACAGGATTGGATTTTATGGCTTCCAAAAAGTTCCTGAAACCAAGAATTACAATCATAGTTATCTCATAATCGGATCAAACATTAAATTGTTCTAAGGTTTGAAGTTATCGGGTCAATGATTCAATTAGTAGATCAATAGGTCAATTGTTAGTTCAATAAAAAAATATAAATGTTTTAAAAATTCAAAATTCAAACTTTTAATTAAAGTTATAATTTAATAATTCAATTATAAAACTATAGATTTTAAGGTGTATTATAAACTACAAAATTTAAAATATAAATTTCATAGAACAATTAATTATTAGTTAAAAATGAAATTACTTAACATTTTATTAAAATCATATTTTATATTTTAATAGTTAGAGATAATATTTATATTTTAATAAATATAATAAATAATTATAAATAATTATTATTTATATTTATTAAAATATAAATATTATTTATTAATATATGATAATTAATCTTTATGTAATAAAAAAGAATATCTATATATAAAATTAATAAAAAGGAAGCATTTGTATTTATATGAAAATTAGTAAAATGAAAATTAAAACTATTTTTATATTTTTTATATGACTAGATTTTTTTTATTAATTTTACAAATATATATATTTTTATTAATTATTTTTATCATGATCAAATAATTAATCATTTTTATTAACATTTTATTTTTTATTAATTTTATAATTATTTTAAATTATAGTATCAATTAATAAAATTTTTTGTTAAATTATTTTTTTAAAAAAATTACTTATTTTTATACATGTAAAATTTTTTTATAATATTATTATTCACGTGTTAAAATATACCAACATATCATTAATGTAAGAATGCAAGGGCTTTAATAGTAAAAAAATAAGAATTGAAAGCTTATTTAGATGAAAAATAGTATAAAGTTTAATTAGATTATTTTAAATACTTAAAAGGAGTTTTTTTTTTTTATATTTTACTTAAATTTATTAGTAGGTTCGATTTGAAAAAAAATCATCCAATTTATTAATTTATTATATAAACATTTGGTTTACAACGATTTAAAATGATTAATTATAAAATTAATCTAATTACAAAATTAAATCGAATTTAGCATCAATTTATCAATTTACCTGATGGAACCAATAATCTAATTCAATTTTGATAACTATAACTACAACTCTAAACTCTCAATCTAAGCCTTCTTTTGATAGCAAGCAACAGCAATAGCAAACCACAAAAGGAAAAAAAAAAAAAAACGTCCAAATCCGTAATAACGTAGAAATTTAACATCAGAACTTCCGAGACTGAAAGTTTCCATCTTTAAACAAGGAATACAACTAGTAAAATAAAACATAAAGAACAAACCAAAAACTTGGAACTTCTGAAGCTAATATTTCCATATTTGGCCAACTGGGAATACATACAACTAAAAACCCAGGACGACACCCTTCATTTCTTTATCATAAAACTGAAAAAAAAGGCTAAACATAGGCATTTTGATAAGCTTGACGAGCATCACCAGTCAGCCTACAAATCCTCGGTTCACGCAAAACCTTAGTACCCATTTGTTCATATAACTTAATGGCATCAATATTCCAATCCAAAGCCACCTATTCCACTCTCTCATACCCCAATTTCACTGCTTGTTTCGCCAACGCCGGCAGCAACATCTTCCCAAACCCTTTCATCCTATAGCCTTCCCTAACAAACAAGTCCAAAAGAGTGGAGTAGTTTCGAAAAACAAAGTCAAATAGCTCGTGTTTTCACTGTATACTCAACTAGAGATGATAATCGTTGTTTGGGTTCAAATTGAGTCAGAGTACTCGAGTTCAAATAATTCAAATTAACTGAGTTTTAATCAGCTTTTCGACTTTTAATATGGGTAAAACTTTTTATAAAGATCTTAACTTTGAGTTTAGATTATTTTTGCCAATTCAAATTTCTAGCTTGGACAATAGCTAAAGAATGGTTGAGATTGAAAGATTATTGCAGCTCAAGTAATTTAGCTTCTGCACTCTAACCTACAAAATGTAATGACACATTCCATGGTATTTTCTTTTTTAATTTTAATTCAATGGCAAAGTATTTCATATTTCATAAATCATATTCCACCTAACCTGCTAACCCCTTGACATGGGATTCGGTGTTGGACTCGAGATAAGGTATCGAACAAGCATTTTTGACAATTTTTTATATTAATTTTGAAGATTAAAGTTTCATACTCGAATAAATAATGAAGTGTCCAAGAAATGTCAGACAACCATGTGAAGACAAGAAACGTCAGAAACGACTATGTTAAGGTAAAGTGAAGAATTCATGTAACATAGATCAATATTGCACGTCCGGAAACAGTAATAAGAAAGATTATGTATGTCATCTTTGCTATCTTATAGAGCTATATCAAAGTTTCAAAGGTACAATACTTTTGGCTCTAAGAGAGTTCAGGGCTGAAGTTCTTCCGTCATCCTATTTCATGCTTTCTGGCAGTTTGTTATCAAAATCTCTGGTTTCTCAAATGCTGGATTACTAGGAGTGCTGGCTAATGCTGCTTATTAACTGTTGTCTTCATGTCTCCAGTTAATTCCTGATCATCCAGTATTAAGATGAACCTGCCAAGTCAAATTGACAGGCACAGATTAGCACAAGGGTGATATCCAGGATATTATGGTGACCAAGTGATGGTGGGGAATGATTCAAATTCCAAGTTTTCAGGAAGTATAACTTTCATTCCATAGATGGAAGCCCCCAAACATCAGGAAGGTTTTTTTTTTTTTTTTGGGTACAAGGCAAACATAATGATTGAATGGATGAGTTTCTTCTTAGTTTTTGGAAGTATAACTTGGTTATAAGAGGAATGCCATTGATATTTTGGTTTTATAACCATAACATAGAAAGTCAAAGAGAAGATTACCTAGTGGTTGCTTATTTCCATACTATGTCCCCCATAAATTTAAGTGCTGGAACACCCCTAATCTCCATGTCAACTAGGGGTGATTGGATTAACTTCAAGCTGGATAGCTCTGGGTCATTGCTAATCATTTCAAGAGCACGCATTTGATCCTGAAGTATTTAATTAAAAAAGAGAATTAGGAGAAGAGTAAGTTGAAAAGGAAGATGTAGATGCTAATCTTCCATCTTTCAGTTAAAATATTCTAGCATTCAAAAAGTTATAAAACGTTGGTCACCGTTTGTCACAATATTACCAAAGGTTTATAATCTTTCCATGAAAGTATACAGATTAATACCTTCCTTTTCACTGCACAAAACTTGCAGTCAGAGGCAGTTGGAGGAAGAATCTGATTAACAATAAGTCTCCTCACAGGAACATTTTCTTTCTTCAAGGAGGCACGTAGCCTAGATGACTCACTGACAGCCATCACCTAGGTAAAAGTACATAAAATGGAGGCAATTGTTTAGAAGCAATAAACAATCACTACTAATGGTCCTAAGACACTTGGAAGACCTATCTTCGCAGCCTATTGTGATGGAAGGAAAAGTCCAAGTTAACAACAGTAAACAGTTCAATATTGAAATTGAGTGCTGAAATACAATAAAATGCACTACCGTGGGGATTGTGACAATGACAAACTCTGTAGAATCTGTGTCACGGAAAAGGTCTCTCACTTTTATCATCCTCTCCCTCAGTCGCTCCAACTTGCCAGCCTGCACAAACAACACAAGGAAAAATAGTATTAAAAATAAAATAAATTGACTTTAAAAAAAAAAAAAATACAAGATGCCAACTCTCATATATATCAGGCTTACAGCATTCTGACGGGTTTCTTCTTGCCCAAAAACAGATTTGATGGCTGAGGTGGCTGAAGCTATCTTCTCTCTAAGCTGTATAAGGCAAGGGCAGTGAAAGAAATGAAATCATAGCAAGAAAATAATTCCCCCAGCACTAGATAAGAAAAAATTAATACTACAAAATCGATGGAGTTAGTTCTGGATTCTTAATAATGCTCAATTTCACTAATGCTAAATTAACTTACATGGCATATATATAGATATGTGTATATATATATATATATATATATATATATATATATATATATATAACTATGCTAAACAAGTGCAAACTTTTGCTTATGTTGTCAACCAACTCAACCAAATTATTCTTGAGGAATTGAAGGCTTTATGTGCAAAATTTCTTAGACAAGCCATCTCTGTAAATGAGTCATGGTCACGTAAAACATCAACTGACCATCTAAATTAAAAAGCACCCCTAAATAAAATAAGAATTAAGCAACATAGTACATTAAGCTCATTTTTTATGAGGTTTTATAGTGTGTGCATTCAAGCATGTATTATTCTCTAAACTCTGCCTCATTCTTAACATCATATGCAGCTCTTCACAGATATGTTACTTATCTATCATTTTTCCTCATGGTTTTTGGTATTTTATTCAAACATCGAGTGATTTCCAGTATGTGATCAACAAATAAGTAAGGGATGCTAGAATAGTGTATAAAAATGTTGTACAAATCAGTCATTGGGTCACTTAATGGTTCACCCTTACATATGATAGCCATAATATGTGTTTAAAAAGAGCTGAACAACACAATTAGAAAGAGACAGCACATCTACAGGTTTTAATAATTAAAGTTGGCATTCCAACCTTCAATATTTTGCCTATTGATGCATCCAAGAAGTCTGGCAATGATAAAAGTCGCAATGTATGTCCCTGAAAAGAACTCCCACTGATTAGAGTTCATTGGGTTGATTTCAAATATTAAGTGCCACAAACAGAAAGAAACGCTCACTCACCGTTGGTGCAGTGTCAAAAACTATTCGAGTAAACATACTATATTGTGGTGATTCAAGAAATTGCATCACCTAGCAAGAGCTTCTGCAGTCAGTATATGGCCCAAAGATCTGTAAGCTGCAATAAGAAAAGGAAATAAGCAGAGCACATAGTGCCTACCTTTGAAATTGCAATAGCTTCATCCAAACCGGGAGGTGGCGTGTCAAGCAATTCTCCTAATTTCAGCTCTCCTAACTTCATAAGTCAAAAGAAGCAGAAGACATAAAAAGAATCATCAGAAGCAGAAATCACGATTTTAGAAATCAGAAAATCTCAAAAGAATTAATAAGGGAGACCTGTATGGGGAAAGGGGTACACAGCAAAAGAGAAAGGATTAGGATCCACAATTCCACATACAATGAGGAAATTCATGTGGCAAAATTTCTCATTTCTCCATGGCTTAGCATCTTAAACTTGCCATGTTACTATGGTTTTGTGTGTCTGCGTATGCATTAGCACATGAGCATGCGCACATACATGTATGCATGCTCTTATGCATATTTGCCACATCACCAATCGTCATCAAATGAGCAATTGAGAGAGGCATGAAACACACAAAGCATGCAACTCCAACCAAATAAAAGTTATGGGGTCATTTAGAAGAAACTTTGCTTAAAACAAAGATTAACAGCCAAAATGCAACCAGTGATGCCATCCATGGCATTACATAGTGCAAATTTGACCAAAGGACGATTAAGTATCTGAAGTTGCTGTGCTCGTACACATCAATAAAGCTTCACCTGGTCCACAAGCATCCCAAGGCCCATGCCATTCATGAATTCTTTGACCCCAGTTCCATCATTGTTCTTAGTTGCATCTCGAAATTCTTCCCTAGCCTTCTCTGGGTTTATCTGTGTTAAAGCTATAAATTTAACTTACTGAGTATACAGGCAAAGAAAACCATTAAAACAATATCTAGCAGATAGTCATCTCTTATAGAATACATGATCTCAAGGAGTACATGCAACAAACAGAAAAGAATCTTCAAAAGAAAAAACTATGGGAAACTTGATTAGGAAGTTTATTCCACATACCTCAAGAGCAAACAAGGGAAAGTCAGGTCCTTCAACTGGTACTAGTGTCCCTCCAGTCAAATCCTATATAAAAAATAAACACATAGACTGAGCCCAAACAAAGACAAATGCAGGAGGAAAAGCATTGGAATTAAAAACAAGGGAGTGGATTTAAACCTGAGCAAAAGAATCACTCAAGGAATGGGCTGGATCAGTTGAAACCACCAGAGTGTGATGTCCATTATTTGCAAATTTAACAGCTAGTGAAGCAGCACAACTAGTCTTTCCTACACCTCCCTTGCCACCTAGCATGTAATACTTACGTTCGGTCCCAAACACCATTTCATCAAACCCTGCAACATCCTCTGCAGGAGCAGCCACAGATCTCACTGCCACAAAAATATACAGATGATATATTTAGTAGCAATATGCTTGGATTTCATCCAAGGAAAATTGCCGCAATGGCATATAGTTCTACTTGTCCATTGAACATAATTCTCTAAAAACACTAAGCATTATGTCATAAAATAAACTTCAATTATGTCATCTTATTGCCTCATTTAAAAATGCATATAAGAAATGCCTGTTAAATACAAAAATTGCTTCACAAATTTATTCCAGCAAGAATGAACTTTCACTTTCTTTTGTCACTGCTGAATGAGTACATTATTTGGCAGGAAGAAAAAAGAAAGAAAGACAAAACCTATCCCCATCTTCCAATTTCCAGTAACTTTCTCCTCTCATCCATTAAAATTATCATTTCCTTTGCCTTTTTCATTTTAACAAACTTTTCACTTTTTATATCTACTTGCATCCTCAACAAATTATTAGATTACAAATTTTATACTTATATAACAGTCTCGTTGCTTCGGAATTAAACTACCCAATGGAGCATCAGAAACAATTTGATGTTAGATTGCACAAAAGAGTCAAATTTAAAAACTAAAATTAAATAAAACAAAATTTTCTCTTGTATTTTCACAAAGTTTAGATTTTTATTTTCTTTGCACCCTCAACAAGTAATTAAATTTATATCACTTAAAAAGCTCATTAATTCTAAATTGAAACTACCCAATTTAGCATCCATTACAATAAACACAAAAAATGAATCAATTCATGAAAAAAAGCACACATTACAAAAATTCAATTCTTTTCCTAATAAATAAGAAAAACAAAGTGATACCCAAGAAAGATACAATCTAGGGAAAAAGTAAAACAAAGTAAAGGAATCACCTTGAAAAGAGTTTTTGGGTCGTTTTGGTTTGATGGAAAATGAAGGAAACGCTGAAGACAGAGTGTGAATTCTGGGTGACAAAGAAAGCAAAAAACCAACTGCTACCGTGGGATTTCTTGGAGTAAAAAATTTGTGATAAGAAGAAGAATATGATGTAAAAGAAGCTTGCCAAACTGTTGCTTTCGCCATTTTTTCTTCTAGCTGTTCTAAGAAGGTAATGAACAGAGTTTTTTACATGGAAACGGCGAAAACTTGGATAGAATATTATAATCAACAGGTGGCCCAATTCGTCTACCCGTTTACCCATTTGGCTTTTTCGGGTTTGAATTTCGCCAATCTTAATAACACTAAAAACATTCAAATATTTGACTCATATGATTGTTTTTTTCAAAAAAAAAAAGTGAATTCTTTTTATCCAAATCAATATATATATATATATATATATATATACACACACACACAACAAAAACATTGTTATATTTTTTTCTAATTACTAATAATATTATTTTAAGGGAAAACAAAAATGATACTATATATAATTATAATAGTATGGTTTTAAGGGAAAAATAAAATGATATTAGAATTGAGCATACCCATTGAGTGGTGAAAAATATTTTTTGAAAAAAAAAATTGTGTTTTGAAAGAGAATAACACATAGAAGAATAGATAATTTTTTAGTGAAAATTTATTTTTTATAATAAAAAGACGTATATACCTTTAATTTTATATTTTTTATAATTAGTTTGGATTGAAAATACCAAATTCAATTAAAAATTTTGTAATAATATAAATATTACTTACAAAGAAAGAAAGCGCTAAAGACCATAATTCTAAATTAAATTATTTGAATGTGACAAAGTGATGGCAAAATTAAAAAAAATAGAAATTATCAAAACAAAATTTTAAAAAATAATACTTTATTTAAAACTGCTAAAAACTATATATGTAAATTAATAATTTTCTATTAAGTACATTTTCTTTACTTGTCTCCTTTCATGTATAAAACAAAAGAAAATCCTACTGTTTCTCTCTTTCTATAATCTGTAGTCTGTTAGTCATGACCAGCAAATGGTTCCTCAACAATGGATGGTTCCTCAACAATGGGAATTGATTCCTATTGCACCTTATTCTTCTTGTACAACTAAAAATGAAAAAAAGAATACACTAAAAGGTAATGCAAGTAGACCACATAAATTAAGAGGTGAAAAAAACTGTCCACCTCTGCATGAAGCAGAGGACACTTCACATGTTAAGAGACTCTGTGTGAATTTAAAACTCTTATAGTTAAAAAAAGGCAAGGAGTTGATGTCCTTGTCATTCACCTAGTTTACAAAAAATGTCGGAATTAAGATCATCCTCTTTGCCACTTTGACAAACCCAAATTTGAAATGAAGCATGCCGAACTTGCGGCTGAAAAATTCAATCTCTAGCATTAGTCGGTGGTAGACCATTTTAATTTTTATGTAATTGGTGCCTATATCTCGAACAAAGCAAAATTCTTCCTTAGCTCTAGAACAAGGTAAATTTGGATGCAGAAAGAACTGAACTAAATGACAATAATCAACTTAAATTTGTAACAGAATTTCAGAAGCAACAGGATGCAAGTGATTAGGCATTCCTCAAATAGTACCTGGCAAGCAAGAATACCAAAGACCTGCAACTTGAGCTGGAGGAAGATTCTCAAACTGAGAGATACAGAAAAAGCAATGCTACTTATCCCATCAGATGGTAGAACAGATGGCATTGTATGGATGGTCTCAAAATCAGGGAATTTTAATATCGTTGATACATGGAAGCATCTAAGGCATGAACAGATCACAGTGTCTCGGCAACAGCTGGTGTGATTTCCACTTCATGTAGCAAAGTTTTATGTGATCAGCTGGTTGGCAATTGTGGACAGGTTTGAGCACGGATTGTCTTGCAGTCCACAATTATCATTTATGTGAGCATGGCATTAGGATTTGTGTCAGGTTTCTAGGGTGTGTCAGGTCCTGTTCTGTTCAGAAGGACTTGGAGAATCATGTACTTTTAGCTTTTAGATTGCATTAGCTACAAATCGGAATAAAGTGTTGCAAGACTTTAATCATTTCAGGATATGTTACTTTTACTTGCATATGGCAATACATATCACCTAAAAGTTTCTGAATCTGATAATGTTCCTATGCATTTATGGATCAAATGAATGTTAGCCTTTAGGTTCCGTCTAATACCAAGATATATACACAAATCGTAACGAGTGCCAAAGAACTCTTGCATGTCAAATACTACAACCATGGAAAATAAAACAGGAGTACAAACATAACAAAAAAAGCCTCTCAGGTGATAGAACATAAAGATTAGCCAATCATAAGCAAAATTTTACACTGCAGGATATCAGTTTTCAATGTCAGGAAAGTTAGAACAATGCTGTTAAGTGTTAAGTTCCAGCGTGAGCAAACTCCAATGTTTGCAAGTGATTTTTTTTTTTTTGTTCATTAATGTATTCATTTAAGTTAAAGATATATCTCTTAAAAAAAAAAAAGACAATTTCAAATGCAGGTTTTTATATGCGAGTAAAAATTAAATTTTTAAGATTACATACTAAGATAATTATGTATAATTTTTTTTGTCGGATGAAGTTTTCATTTTAATTTAAGTTAAATTTGCACAAAAAGAAAATTTGTTGGTAAAAATATATATTATGCAAAATTACTTTTTATCGCATACGGCATACGTTTAAAAAAATCTTATCGTTAGGACCAAATTTTCTGTTGAAGCAAAGTAGAGAAATCTATGACCAGTTGTAAACAGTTTATCCTAACTTGTTACTCAAGTTACAATTTCCCTTTCATTAAGTATACAACTGTAAATTTATTGTTAGATCTGACTTGAAAAGTTACTACCAATATTTTTTATCTATATATGATTAATCACCTAATTAAATCTGTTTCATTTTAAAAAATATCTCAAATTTGACTCGGGTATTTTTAAAAGTAAATTCTCATCTATGAAATCATAATTAGGTCTGAAAATCATGTTATACGTAAAAAAAGTTATAGTACCCTCATAATATCCATTGAAAGATAGTACCAGTTTGATTTCGTGTTATTCAAATCTTAACATATTTTTATAATTTATCAAATAATTTAATTATTGAAAATTAGTCTTAAAACTACTCTAATCGTTTGATAGTAATTTAAAATAATTTTCTCACATCAAAAGTATTCATGGAGATTCGTGTCCCACTTTAAAAAAGCTTCGTCGTCAGATTTATTAACATATTTTTCGAGAAGTTATTTTTGAAATCAATCAATAAAATACTCTAATAATTTTGGTAGGATTTTATATTGATGTATATGCCACAATCGTTTGGTAGAATTTTTATTTGAAAACCTTTTTTTATGAAAATTAAAAAAAATAAAGGTTATTAAATTTTTCAATAGTTTGGTAAATTTTAACTCAAAAATTTAAATCATTCAATCATTTAGTAAAATTGAAAAACAAATTATTTAAAAAAAGTTCATTATAAATTCTTAAACATTTGTTACAATTCATAATTTAAAATTAAAATCTTCCAATAATTTAATAGGATCTCATGGATTAATTTTATAAAAGACTTATTATTATTATTTTTTTACATTTTTAAAATATCCATAATCAAATAATAAAAAATAGCATAAAATAAATAAAAGCAAAAAATAGAAAAATTATACCAATTATTGGACCAAGTCTAAGTCGAAGTCCAAGACCAATTGAGCTTGTAATGGATCAATCTAAATTCTAATCTAAGCTTTTTTTTAAAAAATGGCATGGCTAACTTGGGCTTACAAATGGGCCCAAGCTTATTCAAGATGGCACGCGGACCAGGGTACTATTGAGATTAGCTTGGACCCAAATTGCATCACCAAGGTTGGGTTGAAGAAACTTGATTCTTCTTAATATAAAAACAATGTCGTTTGCCATAAAACTCTCTTTTTTCAATTCTTTTTTCATTTCCCGTTTTTCTTCTCTCTAAGCATTCTGTTCTTTTTTTTAAAAAAAAAGTTGCTAAAAGCTCAATCCTTTTTCTAGAATCTGGTGCATCAATGTTGCTGTCACCGCAGGTCGCTAACGCCACACCTTCTTTGTTTTTTTCTTTTTCTCTAACCCTTATTCTATAAATTTTTGTTCTTCATTTTTGTGTCATTACTGATTTTTCCTTCTATGTATTCTGGTTTTGCCTTGTTTTTTTCTGCTTAGATTTTGTTGATGTTCTTTACTAGGTGACCCAAAACCTCATCAAAGTGGGTTAAACTAAAACCCAAAAAAAAAAGAAACCTTTTTTTTGGTGTTTTTCTCATTTTTTTAAATTTTTTCCCATTTTTGCTTCTTTATTGATAGATGATGATTAATGGGGAGTGGTTTTTGGTAGTTTGGGTCTCATTGTGTAGGGCTTGATTCTTGTGATGGTAATAATGGGTGGGTTTGATTTTGTTGGCCTAATGTGTGTTGAGTTGCTGGTGATGTTGGCTTGAAATTAGGTTTAGTTTAGAATTTTGCTTGTACTAATTAGATGGAGGTGAATTGGGCAGATTTATGAGTGATTTAAGCTAATATTGTGGATGTGCCTCGGTTGAAATTCTTTTTTTGGGCTTTGTGTTCCACAGGATGAAGGTGTGGTTGTAGCAATAAATAACGACAGAGATGGATGGCAATGGGCAGTTGTTTGATTCAACTGTTGGTGACAATGATGATGTGTGATTGCTAAAGACTAAAGATGGATTTGGTGAGTTTTAGGCTAGGTAATTGAGATAGTGGGCTATCGAACCAAAAACTAAAGCTTATGTGCTTCTAGGTTTTTGATGATTAGATTTTTTTTGGAACTTGGTTTTCTAGGATTGGGAACTAAATTGATGGATTTTCTTGTTATCAAACATCTCCCTATGTTTTCTTTGTATTTTTTTTATTGTGTTAGTTTTTGGTGGCTGGGTGAATGTAATGATAAAATTAGTTTAGGTGGAACTGTGGTGGCAAGAAAGCTGTTAAGGTAGTGGTATGAAGAGGTTGATGATTTTGGAATTGATTAGTACCTTGTCCCCATCAATTTTTATATGTTTATATAAGGAATTCAATTCCAAGTGTGATAGGGCATTCTATCAAACTAAGATTTATCTTTAATAAACTTTTAAATTAATCCCAATGTTATCTTTAAAAGAGTTTTATCTCAATCTAAGATTTCAAAATCATTGTTTATCCAAACTTTCCTTTAATTTTTTTTTGAAAAAACACTAAATTAAGAGATAAAAATTCTTTGGTCCAAACTAAACCCAATCAGGCCCAATTAAAACCCAAAACTTTCTTAACAGGCTAAAAAAAAACTTATGAGTTAATGGA